CCGCCTCTCTCTTCTTCATCTACACCCTCAGGTGTTGAACCAACAAGTCAGGAAACGGGGGAGGTAAGTGGCTTGACCTCCTCTCTGGCAATAACCCTACTACTCCATCTGGCAACCTCGACAACACAGGCACGTCCTGGGAGCGTGGAGACCGCGTTTCTGGTGGTGGTCACTGATGTCACCAACATCACGGAGATATTTGGTGGCGAGGGAGATGGGAGGCGGGGACCGTCCCCGCTCGTGGTGTCCATTAGTGGTGGAGGGAAGAGGGGCGACGGAGGCGTGGGGATCTTGAACTCTCCCGTTAGTCAAGGGGGAGTTGGCAAAGAGAAAGGGTAAGGATTGTTGAACAATCCCAGGTCAAAGCTATCAAAATGGACTTTTTATTATTATGACGGATGGATGGACATGTAGCCTTTTAGAAGTTATCTATTGTGGACTTCCTTCTGCTGGCTATTAGACTCCTATTGTCGCTTTCGAAATAGTTGGGGGACGGAGCGGCCTTGCATGCGTTGGCAAAATTAGAATCCATTGAATTGGTTCAAAATATGTAATTGGGGAAGTTTAACAATTTTGAGAGGAGGTCCCGGCAGTGTGAAAGAATAGACTTTAAAGACTTCAAAATGAAGGGTGGACGCTGTAGCCATAATTTGCCCAAACCAAGTAGCGAATGATAATCATGACGCTATGGAAACACATACTTCCAGCTGGAGAATCCTGAGCAATGTACAGAGTCCATGCCTGATGCCGTTCGGGTGGCGACTCGGAAGCCCAAAGCAACTCCTCAGCAGCATCAATGATAAGCCGTCAACGCAGGCGATTGAGTTCCAGGGCATGACAAGAAGACGAATGATTGCCAAGAGACTGGCTCTCTTCTTCGAGCCCATCTCGCGAGGGATATTCGTCGATTCGGGGGGCCTTAAATCCTCATGCATGTGGCGTGGTGATAATGCGAATCTGGGGGGAGTCCTAGGTAGGACTTGGCATCCAGATGCGCATACTACCTTTGCCGGAATACTCGGTGCTTCACAGAATTGGGGTCGGGGCCACATTGGTTCACATTTGCAAGGGGAATCGGGGTATATCCATATCTATGATGCATGGTGGGTGACCGGGTTAAGATCAAGTATTATGGTCATCATTGGGACATACCACTTGGGGGGCCCAGGCTTGTTGAACGGTACGGAGCTCGAGTGCATGCTTATCTGACTGAAGTCCGAGTCAAAGTCGAAGACGTATCCTCGGTGCTTGTCCATAGAATCGGGGCGTCGGTTTGGAAAATGCCCACAAAAGTAGGACTCGGAGTGTATCCTTATCTGCCGATAAGTGAAAAGTGCATCCTCGAGCTCGGTGCTTGAAGTAACATCGGTTTGGTAACTACCACCCACGCCGGTCTCCGTTATTTGTAATGGGTCAGAATCGAGGTCAACAACCTCTCGAATTTGGGTGCATCAAGAACTTGAAAAGTTGGAGGCATCGGTTTGGTAGATAACGTGAGGAGCGAACCCTTATCTGTGATGGGCCCGAGTCGAGGTCGAGGCTATTGTCACCCTTCTCTTCAAATTCTACGCTGCAAGAATACAAGAATTGGGGCATGGGTTTGATAAAAGAGTCAAGACACAAGGAGTAAATTCTGATCTCAGCCTGTAGTCGAGTCCAGGTCGACGCAGCCTTGAGGAACCACCGCGATATGCGATACGAGTTCTTGATCCTGTATTTGTGCGTTTCGGTCAGACGTCGGGAAAACACAGATACGTATACGATAGTTGGGGTTGGCGGATAAGTATTAGCGCCAGTCAATGTCCGAGGTGCCGTGATGGCAAGGAATTTTGATTGAGGGAATGGCCATGAGGTTCATTTTGAAGTCATCGATAAAATAATCTCGTCTCCGGGCCTCCATCAGTGTTGTTGGAGAACGTACAGGGTGGCGTTGTTTCACGAATGGTGTAGCTCGGATGTTGAGTTGTAGAAATAGGAGGTTATGAGTGTTTTATGCTTAGTCGGAATGAAGACTGCAATGCGACTCAATGCAGAGCAGGAACGATGGGCTGACTTGGGTAGCAGATCATCGCTTTGGATCCATTTTTTCCAATAGCGTGAGCATCTCACGCATGCTAGGGAAGAGATAATCAATGGCGTCCCAACAGCGATCTAGAGTATCCCAAATCACATCCACGCTCTTTTAGACAGGGCAGCGAGCTCCCCTGGCAGGTTTGACTCCTCGAATGATATCCACAGCTACAGCACGGTCGTTTGTTCTGTGAGGATAGGGGAGCCGTCCGGCTGCCACCTGCGTGGCACACACGAGTCACATATGCAATCAGTTCAAGTAGAAGGCCAGACATACCTCAAGGCACACCGAAGCGAATGCGTACACATCACTAAACGTAGTAATGGGAGAAATTTGCCCATCGTCTTCCACCAGTGACATAATAAGTTCTGGTGCCATCCACCCGGTTGACCCGGCAAAGAAAGAGATGCCCTTGCTGATGATGTCAGACATTTCCTCGATGACCTTGGAGAGCCCAAAGTCGGTGATGATCGCATACACATGCTCATCGATCAGAATGTTTCCTTTTTCTGAGTCGAGGGTCAACGGGAAGCACGAGAGGACGAACAAAGAGGCCTGACTCCTTTTAAGTCCCCATAGACGATGGTAGGCCTGAATGTATGCAGATAGGTAATGGCAGAAGCAACCTGGGTGAGCTACAATAAGAGTCAGATCATGAAACGAAAGTCAGTGGATGATTTGAAATACGCAACAAGTCTTGATCGGTTCACGCAGGGGAAATGCTTCAGATAGTTGCAAAGCGTCCCATGTTCGCACCAAGACGATACCATGCCAACGCGCTGTGAAAGATGCACTATCCCAAACAGCTGCGACACATTGCGATGACATAACGATGCCAAGCAATAACCTTTGACTGAAGTCGCTAACAAACCATCATGTCAGCTCAAAACATCAGCGAGAGAAGTATTCCATACCTTGATGAGCTTGTCTCGAACAATTTGTACCACGACTTGACGTAGGACCTTGATGGCAACCTGAATTATATCGTGAGCTGACGTTGCAACACAACACCACGAAGGCACTTACAGGCCGTGGGCGTCTCTCGATTGGATCGTTCCAATTACCTATCCATACGTCAGAGAACGTTCCATGAGCGACAGCCGCCTCTGCCTTCACAACTTCGTCGGTAAGATCAGTCAAGATCACAGACCCTTTCAAGACCAAAGTCTTGGTGACTGTCTCCTGCAAAACTTTTGTCGACATCGTTGCTTCAAGCGGCTATGGTCCTGATGCTCTTGGATCCACCGGAACTCGTCGTAAAACGATATGGAAAGTGCAACAGTCCGGAGGGAAGAGAAGGAGAGGAAATGTGGGTGGGTTTGGAGGATCGTGGCATTCGGAGATGGACATCTGACGCAGATTCCAAGCCAACGTCTATCCAGATCGTTGATCGGCCAGTCTGGTGATAGGTGGAGGTTGATGAACAATGTTCATTCGCCATGCCGAGAATGTAAAGAGCAAGAGTCGGGAAGACGGGGAAAAACAGATCACAGCATTCCCTGATGAATGCAACGACAATGTCAGATCTTCGTATCCACTTTTAGAGAAAAAGGGTTTACTCACGGATCCTCGTCGAACCCCTCGTCCAGACTACCGAAACAGCAATCTGCAAGAATGAACGGGCCATATGGGTCGTCTGCCGTTCGGTCGATGACGAAGAGGTGGGCGCCTTGTGGGAGGTGGTCAAAAGCGGTGGTTTTTTCGAAGGTCGATGTGCCGACTGGTCTGCGGCTGCTGAGTAGTCGGCAACCGTAGCCTCGTAAGTGGATGGTGGTGAAGGGTGTTCGACAGAAGACAGTGGGGATCCTCTTCTTGCACAACGGGGACGACGCACAAGGATAATTGGTCGTTGCGAATCTGGCAGCAACGCCACGGCATCAAATGGCGACCACGAGAACTGAGAAGACGTGAGGTAAAGTTAAACATCCTGCTTCGGATATGTTGAGCTGGAAGGAATAGAGAATCTCGAGTAATCGGAGCTCGATTTTGCGGGTGAAGGATGGCGGCTGCTCTGGATCGCATGTCTGTGAGGTGAGACCGCACGATATTGCGACCAGAATTGCAGCTGAACCGCCATGGAGTAGCACGCTGCAGGGTTTGAGGGAACTATATAAGATTAGAATGCGAAACTGGCGGCAGAGATCGCAAACGCACCTCAGAGTCATCCAACCCAACAAACGGCCTCAGGCTAACTCGAAGAGGCAGGGAGCATTAAATGATCGTACTGCGAGGTATTGAGAATGCAAAGGCAATGACAGGGATAGCTGGCGGTGCGACGTATTGGATCTGTCTTGAGCGACGTCAAGGCATGATAGTGGTCCATGACGCGTTGGGCGTTGATCTTACCCTCACCTCTCCTCTTTTGCTCTACGCGATTGTCCTTCGTCTGGTGCTTCATTTCATCTCTGGGACAATAACAATATGCGATCCAGTAGCGTATTTTCTGCCCTCTATCAATGTATCTCTTATTAATCTTTTCGTTAATCCTCAGATCTCGGCGTCGACTTTGCACCTCATCACTCTTTCGCCCTAATGCGGCGTGCATAGGTGACTGCCATCACCCATCCACGACTTTCCTGTCTACGCCCGATCTTCGAATACGCATTCCATAAAGCTACAACTTCGTTTGGCCCAGCCGCTCACGTTTGTCGCACTTCCTTCTCGTGAAAACCCATGAATTGGGATAAGAACGGTAAAGATTTCTTTGTTATCTCGTTATCCGTTCTCCTGCTCATTATTATGACACCTAGTATCACCTCCTTTGGGATAATGCAAACTGTGCAATGTGTTGTTAACTCATGATTGGACAAAAACTTTGTATTTCGTCAGTACTTATGCTGCTGGCAACCATCTGTATGGATCATTGCCGATTTCTGACCGTGACAGTCTCTCTTTACAGAGATCACAATCCGCATCCAAAGGACGAAGGTGGGCGTTACGAGGAAATATCCGAGCGCCAGTGGCCCAGAATGATCACCTCCAACCTTGCAACTGCAATGAACTTTATCCGCCCTCAAGCGCCACTGAACGAACATTACCAGAATCGTTGAATTTATCTTAACGACTCGCGCATATAACGACTTTCGTAAGTACCGCCATCCCCCATGGCCTCCATCGTGCTCTCTTTTTGCCTACTTACACGACCAATTTCGATAGTAGGTCTTGATGCACTCACAACCTGGTTGCGAACAAGTCCGACCTAGAGGAATAAGCATACATACATCGGCGCGTTTAAAGAATTCTGATCGATACTTGTTACATAGGCTCCCTCCCCTCTCGGACCCAAAGGGCGACGACACATGCCCCTTCATTCGACTCTTCCTATTCGAGCTTGGATCCTCTTGCAAGTCGACGTGATCACCACAAATGAGAGGGGTTTAGACTGTCGTTTAGGATTATCTAGGAGGTGGTGATGCGTTGACTGAGGATCATGGGATGCATCGGGCAAAGGACAGTGCTCCGTTCGTATGAACGAGTTATAGCCTCTCAAAAGTGGATTTACCAATCCACTTTCGCTCACCGTCCTTCCTATGAGCCGCTTCTTCTTAGGAACTTGATCCTCGCAACCTTCTCTCTGTGCAGCGAGATCTCCTAGACACCTACCTCTCCCCACCCCACCCTCTTCTCTATGACGCGGACGTAGGTCGCATATACTTGCACCGCTTCCAATCACTTTTGGTCGAGCGCGCTGTACGGCCGTAAACCCAGTTCTTCACCTACCTGCCGCTGTATCCCACATTCCCGACTCTTGGCATCGTCGACGCCAGAATTGTACGTTTGCGTCCTTTGGCGTGAAATGCCTCAGGCAAAGGAGGACTGTATGTACTGCCCGTAAATGGCTGTGAAAGTAGGAAGTAAGTAGTAGCAGGTTTAACAAGTGCTTGTTCATGTTCTGCAATTATGATTGACATTGTACCAGTTCTTGGTATAATTTGGGTACATATCAGTCCGTCAAGCTACGGAGTCACCTGGAAGAGTGTTGTGATTATACGTTATCGCTCCGTTGCAAGTAGCAGTTCAAATGACCTGGCTTTGCCGACAGGCCGCGTGCATATTGAGGCCGTTCCAATTCTTCGACTCAAACCCGATCTGCTGAACGAGAAGAAGGCAGGTGTCAGTAACTAGAGTCAATCACGTCTAATACAAACTTACAAGAGCCCAATCAGCGATGGGTACATTTGTATTTGCGATGCTGCGGCAGTCAATGGCGACGACGAGCTGTGGATGGATACGCACGATGGAGAATCTACACGGTGAACGCTGCATCCAGAGACAATGTTTTGCTGGTCTTACGGGCAGACATTGCGGCTGTTGGGTGATATACCATGTATGTAACGACACATAGCGTCGGGAATCGGGTAACTGATAAGTTCAGGGCAACGAGTAGAGGGGCGCAACAGATCAGATGATCAATGTACGTGTGAGGTCCCTTCGTGAGTCGATGCACGAAGGGATGCAAGTGGCCGGGTCGTGCGGGCCATGCAGAAAATCGAATATATGCGAGGTGATAAGGAATTCAGAGGTGGAGGAAGGGCGAAGGGTATGAAAGATTAAGAAACGCAAAAACGATAACTTACCGAAGGAGAGATGGCCGTTATCCCTACTCCCCAGCTCTCCGACTGAAGCGTGCGGTTATGATCTGATGGACAGCAGTGACCTGGAGGGTGTGTAGAGTTTTTCGAGAGCGTATTAGGTTCGTCGAGCTAGGCATCTTTAAAAACGCCCGTCATTTGGAATCTGTGCTTTGCAGTCTTGTATGCTTTGAAGCGTGGCGCTCGTAAACGAAGTAAAGGGGACCAGAGCTGCCACAGAATTATCAGTATATTGGGGGGGTGAAGTTTGTAGCACAGAACGGGCAAATGCCAAACGAGGTAAGGTGGAAAGGGGACGATATTTAATGGAAGGAAGAACTTACTCGGAGCTGATGCACCCGACGCGATGAATCCCATGAACTGAGTCTTCGCGCATCCTTTGAATCTCAACAGTTCCCCACTCTCACTAGATCGGTGCATGTTGACCAAAGCGGCATTCGAACTTCGTTTGATTGCAACGGAAAGTCGAGTAAGGGTCTCCAGGTGATGTCGGCAGTGGCTGGACGACTCAGAGAGGAAAACTGGACGAGTCGTCATGAAAGTCCGTGTTCAACGAGGGGATTCGCGGCGGAGCTGAAGCCAAGGGTGGATCCCATGCCGAACAAAGACAGCATTGACTTGGCAACAACAATTTTGAAAGGAGGGGGGCCCTTAGGTGGGTCGCAAGGTATCAAAAGAACAAGGCGTAGGTGTGTTTAGCGTTGGGGGGTCGTCGATCACTGCGAAAGCTTTGGGAGAGCCTTTTCCCACAGCCACAACCAAAACATGACTGTGCGCATCCTCCTTTCGTCCCTTTGAGTTCCGTCACTCTGGAGGTGTTCATGGTTTTGCTTCTCGGTCACCGCATCTGCTTGCTGACTTGACGCCGAAACACTTCTCGGAACGCTGTGCGAGGGAGTCGGAGGGACGTTAATCAGGAACGTCAGCTGACTCTGAGAAACGGTCCGTTACCCATTCTGACGTTTGGCACCGCACAGCATCGATACTCTCTTCTGAACCACCATGTCTGATTCTAATATCCCCCGTGAAAATCTTTTGAAATGCGAGTTCGAGAAATTGCCCAAGCAAGTCACGAGCACCGACCACCCTAATAAACGCTATGGTGGTTTGAGGTTAGAGTTCTAGACCTTGTCCTACCAGCTAAATGTCGACCTGAATCCGCGGATGGCAGTAGCATCTCGATAACTCCATCTTCCACCATTGGTGCAGAGGACATAGCCATGCCAGCCTCCAGTGAGCTACATCTCAATCTTCCTGCCCCAAAGTGAACACTGATTGCTCATCAAATCAAATTCACAGGTGATCTGTTTGAAGTCCGTGGAGAAGGAGAGGTTGAGCGCTTACAGCAGGTTTTACCTATCTCCACTGGTCTGTGTTAACCCCAAATCTCTGTCATTTCCTGAATTTTCATCTGCCTACCTCTCCACTGATTGCTTCTGTAGGCCTTGTGTCAGTGGGTGCGGAAATGACTGTTGCCAGTGAGATACCCCTCAACCTGTTCACTATAACGTTGATGTTGACCTTCATTAATTTTAATCTCACAGTTGGTCAGGTTGAAGGCCCTGTGCAAGGAGCTCTTGATATGTCTTCTCCTATCTTGACTGGTTCATGCTTGCTCCAATTCACCATATTCTATTTCTGATAATGCTGCATAGATCCTCCAGGTTCTGACTTGCCTATCTCTCTACCTGTTACTTCTGCTTTGAATGAAAAAGTGATGCCAGCCAGTCAGTACTCTATAAATATAAATATAGCTCAGGTTTGCTCAAATCCAATAGACTATGCAGACTTCTCAGCAAACCAAGATAAAATCATAAACAACATTTCAGCTCACAATGTGACTACTGGCCCTAACTATGGTTTGTTGCATTTGGATTATCACATTTCATTGATTTCACTTATGTTTTAATAGGTACCATCAATCAAGGTAAGAAACAAGACAAGCATTATATTCATCTCAATGATATATGTGGTTGGTAGGTGTGGACCCAAATATTCAAATCACACTTGAGATGATTAGGGATGAACAACTGGGTATTATCACAGGTTCTCTTTTCAAATATATAATTGACTTCATTTTTTTTGCAACAGTGAAGGAGATTTATAAGTGGCTTTCTCCCCCTAAGGAGTCTGTCAACTACAATGCTGCATTTGAAATTCGGAAGAGTCAACTAGACACCTGCCAATGGTTTCTCAAAGGAAAGACATTTTCTAGGTGGCTCAAACAGCCTGGCTTTCTCTGGATCAAAGGAAAATGTAAGTCATCTGTCAAAATTTGTAGATTCATATGTGATTGACAGCCTATCCAGCTGGCTCTGGGAAAACAATTTTAAGGTTGAGAATTCCAGCATTTTTATGAAATTGAATTGATCTTTATTTTGACAGCTCGGCAATAATTCACAATGTTTCTGAAAGATTCAATTCTGCTACTGCGTATTTCTTTTTTGATGGAAGAGACTCACAAAAGGATTTCCAGCTGCATGATAAACTGATGCGATCACTCATCTGGCAATTCAGTCTCAAATGTGAGGGTATACCTAAAGTCTTGGTAGATCTTTATACTGGCTGTGGCAATGGCCATCAGGAGCCAACTCTGGATGATTTGCAGACTACTCTTCAGAAAATTCTTGGTGGCTTTAGCTCAACATTTATTATTCTGGATGCTCTTGATGAATGTCTTGAAAGAGAAAAGGTTCTTAACTGGATTCAGACTGTTATTCTGGAGAAAGATATCAATTTAGGGCTCCACTTAATAGTTACTAGTCGCCCAGAGCAGGAGATTGAGGACAAGTTCAAGTCTTATCATTACCTTGACTTGGTTGAGGAATCTGAGAATCATGATCTTGTAGCCTATCTTGACTATCAGCTTCAGAATGACTCTAACTTGCAAAAATGGAGTTCTGACACTCAAAAGCAAATAAAGTTGACATTAATGGAACAAGCAGATGGAATGTATGTTGATTATCAACATTGGAATGACAGGATAATTGCTCACTCCAATTTTAGGTTTCGCTGGGTTGCATTACAGTTAAATGAGTTGAAAAAGTGCCGGAGTAAGGCTGGTTTGAAAAAGCAGCTAGCTAATCTACCTCAGGGTTTGGATAAAACCTATGATCGAATCTTGCTGGGAATCAATAAAGAAGATCATGGTTATGCAAAAACATTTTTACAGTGGCTATCTTTTGCTGTTTGCCCACTGACACTGGAAGAGCTGGCTGCAACTGCTGCTGTTGACCTTTGTGCTGACAATGGACCAGAGTATAACTCTGATAATGAACTTCAAGATATTGAGGATGTCTTGAAAATATGTTCTAGTTTCATTATAAAATCAGATGGTATGGTTTAGAATAATACCAGATTGAAATGAGCACTGACTATTAAATAGGTTTTATCAAGCTTTCCCACTTTTCTGTCAAAGAATATCTGGTATCCCAGTATATTGGAAATCATCAAGTGACACATATCAGAGACTTGAGCTTCAATGATGAGCTATCACACTCTGTCATATCTCAAATCTGTCTGGCATATCTTTTGCAATTCAATACTTCTGAGCCACTTGATATAAATGTAGAAGTGTTCTCTCCCCTTGCAAACTATGCTGCAAACTTCTGGATTTTGCATACACATTCCAGTGGAAAAAATAGATGTCAGTCATCTATGGGATTTGCATTGATGATGAAGCTCTTGACAGATGAAAATGCTGCTTTTCTCAACTGGGTTCGACTTTGCAATATAGACCAATATCATCGTAGCAAGCTAGAAACAGAGAGCAATGACATTGCTAAACCACTATATTATGCATCACTGGCTGGACTGACTGAAGCATCACAAAATTTGCTAGAAAAGAGAGCAGATGTGAATGCACAGGGTGGAATCTATGGAAATGCACTTGTGGCAGCATCAATTAAGGGCCATGAGGCCATTGCAAAGCTGTTGATAGAGAAGGGGGCAGATGTAAATGCACAGGGAGAATATTATGGAAATGCACTCCAGGCAGCATCAAATCGAGGCCATGAGGCCATTGCAAAGCTGTTGATAGAGAAGGGGGCAGATATAAATGCACAGGGAGGAGCATATGGAAATGCACTCCAGGCAGCATCAATTGGAGGCCATGAGGCCATTGCAAAGCTGCTGATAGAGAAGGGGGCAGATGTAAATGCACAGGGAGGAGAGTATGGAAATGCACTCCAGGCAGCATCAAATCAAGGCCATGAGGCCATTGCAAAGCTGCTGATAGAGAAGGGGGCAGATGTAAATGCACAGGGAGGAATCTATGGAAATGCACTTCTGGCAGCATCAATTAAGGCCATGAGGCCATTGCAAAGCTGTTGATAGAGAAGGGGGCAGATGTAAATGCACAGGGAGGATAGTATGGAAATGCACTCCAGGCAGCATCAAATGGAGGCTTTGAGGCCATTGCAAAGCTGCTGATAGAGAAGGGGGCAGATGTAAATGCACAGGGAGGAGAGTATGGAAATGCACTCCAGGCAGCAATATATGGAAACCATGAGGCCATCACAAAGTTGTTGATAGAGAAGGGGGCAGATGTAAATGCACAGGGAGGAGAGTATGGAAATGCACTCCAGGCAGCATCAAGGAAAGGCCATGAGGCCATTGCAAAGCTGCTGATAGAGAAGGGGGCAGATGTAAATGCACAGGGAGTATGGGTAAAAATGCACTCCAGGCAGCATCAACTGAAGGCCATGAGGCCATTGCAAAGCTGCTGATAGAGAAGGGGGCAGATGTAAATGCACAGGGAGGATACTATGGAAATGCACTCCAGGCAGCATCAAATCATGGCCATGAGGCCATTGCAAAGCTGTTGATAGAGATGGGGGCAGATGTAAATGCACAGGGAGGAGAGTATGGAAATGCACTCCAGGCAGCATCAAATGGAGGCTTTGAGGCCATTGCAAAGCTGCTGATAGAGAAGGGGGCAGATGTAAATGCACAGGGAGGAGAGTATGGAAATGCACTCCAGGCAGCAATATATGGAAACCATGAGGCCATCACAAAGTTGTTGATAGAGAAGGGGGCAGATGTAAATGCACAGGGAGGAGAGTATGGAAATGTACTCCATGCAGCATCAAGGAAAGGCCATGAGGCCATTGCAAAGCTGCTGATAGAGAAGGGGGCAGATGTAAATGCACATGGAGAAAAGTATGGGAATGCACTCCAGGCAGCATCAATTAAGGCCATGAGGCCATTGCAAAGCTGCTGATAGAGAAGGGGGCAGATGTAAATGCACAGAGAGGACAGTATGGAAATGCACTCCAGGCAGCATCAATTGGAGGCCATCAGGCCATTGCAAAGTTGTTGATAGAGAAGGGGGCAGATGTAAATGTGCAGGGCGGAAAATATGGAAATGCACTCTGGGCAGCATCAAAGAGAGGCTATGAGGCCATTGTGAAGCTTTTGATAGAGAAGGGGGCACATAAAATATAATTGGCACTGTCAGATGCACCAAGGGAATCAGGGAATTATGGCAGCCCTGATTGGTCAGTAAATCTTTCAGATGACAAAAAAGATATCTATGATGCTGAACCCTCTCTACAAAAGTTAAGGTAGAAATATTCTTGGTATGTTTAGGATAAAGAAACATTGAGATGAAGTTTTGTGACTTGAGTAGCAAAGTATGATATTTTGACATCTGGTATTGAAATGTAGCCTGAGAACAATATACTGTTTGAAAGTAGTTTTATGTGATTTTCTCGTGATAACAGAGAAGTTTCCACATGCACTAGACCCTGAAATTAGTTTCTCTCCAATGTTATCACCAACAGTGAGCACAATTGCTATTTCCCCCTGATTTTCTGGCTATATTTCATGCAGATTTTCCTATTTAACAGTATACACTGAACCTTGAGAATACTGTACTAATTCAATCAATTCATCGCACCTTGTGACCTGTGACCTGTGGAACAAAATTTTTGTTTCATCGTGTTGCCGAGGGAGGTGTGACCCACCGAAAATTTCGTTGAGCTGTAGGGGCTGGTGGCCCGTTTTTCTGTTAAAAAGAAAAATTGGAACAGAGTCTGTTACAAATGGCACTAGACACGAAAAAGCCGAATTTTATCTCAAAAAGGCACGTTTTCACATTTCCGGACCTATTTAGAGGTTTCGTCACTAGCTCCTGTGACCTGTGACCTTGCCAGAATTTGTCAATTTTGGACCCCTTGTGACGCATGACCGACGAATTGATTGAATTGGTACAGTAGTATATACAGTGTTTTGCATGTGAGATTAGAATTCAAATCTCACAAAAACTTGTTTGTTCTTGTGGTCTGTGACTGATGGGAGTCAAGGTGACCTCGAAGTCACTTCGATTCGACGCCAACACTAGAGTCAATCGACGTAAATGCAGGTTCCAAGCAAGTTCCAAGGGAGGGGACTCCTCCACTTGAAGAAAATAAGGATCTAGTCAGAAGACTAGATCTTTTATTGGCCACCCGTGACCTTCACTAAGAGCGCTCTGGCAGAGGAAGTTCAACGTTCAACACTGTGACACCAAGGAAGGCAACATCACACATCACAACTAATACAAGAACAAACAACTTTTTGTGAGATTTGGATTCCAATCTCACATGCAAAACACTGTAACATCAGCAATGGTGAGGTGTTTTTCCTTTATTATTAACATATTTGGTTTGTACTTCTACACTTTTACGAGGTGTTGCACAACTTTCGACTCATCACTCAATGATACACCCATAACCTTGGGTTTTTCTTCATGAAGAGTACATTCAAACATTCTGAAATTCGTTACAATCATAGAAGGGCATTTATCTAAAATTTACATGTAGTTTTTGTTCTCAATGGTTGTGCTCAAGCTAATTTCCCAATTTCAATGTATCATTAGCCAGACCCACACCTCAAGAACAAAAAGAAAAAAACCATCAAATTGTAGTGTACTTAATAGTTTGTCAAATGTATGTGGTATCGCAAGGGGGATCCTGCACAGTGGCACAAAAAATAAATAAATGGTAGATTCAGGGGGGCAATGAAGGAACATGGGTGGTTGGGGATTTAAGCGAGAGATGGGGGGGGGGAGGAAACTCGGAAGCTGGAGGGAGGGAGCCAGAGGTCGAGAACTTGCAAAAGAGGAGCAGGGAATAACGTCCAAATTGCACGCCTCTAAACCCTATCCCGTCCATGAGGAATGACAAACACGCCAGATACAGGACTCCAACCATCCTCTGGGCCCCTCTCATCTCCCCTAATAAGGCTTGCAATACTCGCTGTATGCCTATGGCCGCCCCTCCCCTGATCCCTCTTGGGCGCTATGAACTATGAATAGATATTTCGTTAACAACGTCATGCCAAAAATAGAAAAACAACACCTCATACCTGTTTCTGCTGTGAGCCAAAAGAAGCAAGTAAACCAGGCACAGGGGAGCGATACGTGATGTCCACTTCCTCGTCATCCGAACTCGTCTCGCTCAGTTCGAAATCCGCAGTATCCACTGTCCCGTTTATCCCTCCTCCCCCTCCCCTACGCGGATCCTCCAAATCGTAGACTTCGTACTTTGACCTGCCCCTGAACCGGGACAAAGAAGTGAGGTTGGGTGGGGGCGTGAGTGCTGCGGAGCCCCTAAGGTCGTCTGGGAGGAATAGATAGAAGAAGGCAGTGGCGAGGCACACACCGCCTACGACGTCGATAAGGTAGTGATGTGATAGGTACATCTTAGCCCAATACAACATGCCTGTGTAAGCCCCCATGTATTTTGTGGTGGCCGGGAAAAAGTGGGATAAGCAGAGAGCTTCAATGGTTGCGCAGCCTGTGTGTAACGAGGGGAACGCGCTGAATGGGATGGGCGCGTTTGTGAATGTGACGGTGTATGTGTGGGAGTGGAAGAGGGCGTTGATGCGGGCTAGACCGCCTGGGGATCCTTTCATGGAGTAGTTTGCTGGAGTGAGGCCGTGGATGAGCTTGTACCATGGTGCAGAGCATGGGAGGAGGATTTGAATGATGAAGCCAAGTACCCGAATGCGCGGGCCCAGAAGTGGAGGGCTTGTTTGGTGCGGAAGAGGCATATGAAGGCGGTGACAATGAAGGGGATTGTGAAGTGGCCTACGCCGTAGAGGAGCCAGGTGATGATGTCTAGGGAGGGGTGGATGAAGCGGGCATCCTTAACCAAGATATTTGCACCATAGAGGACGGATTCGAGTGTAAGTAACAGGGAGATGAAGATGGCGGGGTGCCATGAGGCAGGAATGAACCGAGAAGTGTGAAAAGTGATGAGGTAGGCAAAGTCTTAGACAGTGTTGTACAGGTCAGCCTGACTCGAGGTCAGAGACGTCACGTCACCGGGGTCACATCAACTGACTTGACGAGGTCAAGGGTCATGATGGGGGGTCAGACCTTTTTTGGAAAGAGTATTGAGGCTCATGCCCATGTTTTTTTTTGTTGTTTTCTTGTTTTTTTTTGTTTTTTTTTACACTCATGTTTGAACGTTCTGCATACACAAGTTCTCACAGAACCCTTGACCGATCATGACCCCGTCAATCAAAGTCAGGTCACTTGATGCCGGGTCAGGGTCTGACCTCATCAGACCAGGTCACTACCCATACCTGTGCTTCACTACTGATCACTACTGAACAGAGTTTGAAAAGATCACATGGGCTTCCAATTTGGAATGCCGATGCGTGGCAAACCATGCCACGTGCTGCACATGACTTGAAACTGCAGCCTCGGGCTCTGCAGCTCGAATCTTCGTCTTTTCTTCTTGCCCCTTTGTTCAACGCGACCTCAGAAGATATATCTTGTATATATTGTGAGTTTAAATGTACTTCGACTGTATTTTTCAATTATCCAATGTCAACACTGCGTGTCTGCTTGTCTAGCATTGATAATCCTCGAAAATCTTACAATAGAATGATGGAGGAGCCCGAAAACACAGATACCATGAACTTGCAAGCTCCAAATCAGCCTATCAATGACAAGTAAGTCCTTTTGGTATTTACTGTACTGTCTTATTTACCTCATTTGGTCAGTCAATGCCCTGCTGAAAATACAGAAGTACAAATTACAACTAGCAAACGTGGTCGTGGCCGTCCGAAAGGGTCGAAAAACAAGCACAGTGCCACAACTTCAGTTACTAACAATAATCCAAGCACTACAGAAATTCATCGAGGGCCTGGAAGACCTTGGAAACAAGCTGTGAGGTCAATAACACAGGTTCAGACAGTGGTATGTAAATAATATTGCATTTTTGCCTATTTATAAACTACTCTAATACTTTTAGGATGGCCCTGTGCATATGGAACCTGGGATAAATATGCATCAGCCACTTGCTCCTATTTTTCTTCCTCAAGCAGTTGCAGCAGTCCCAGATCAGGTGCCAGTTTCTCTTCCATCAGACCAAAACCCAATATCAGAGCCAACATATCATGAAGAAGTTGAGACTTTTGTTCTTCCTGCACATGATCCTTTACAGCAATTGGATGACTCACCAGGTGAGGATGATTTGGACAGTTTTCTTGGACTAGGCAACAGCAATGGGATTAATGGTGATGCTGCAAGTGCTGAGGGAGACTTTACTGAGGATGATGGTGAAACTTCTGGGCAACTGCCATCACTGGTCTTGGATGCATTCTGGAAAAAAATTGAGTATCTCAAGGGTTTGACAGAAGGTCAAGGGCGATCAGCCAAACACTTGGTTTATGAGAAGCTTCAGTCATTCTGGTTGCCTCATTTTGACTCTTTCTTCTATCTTCAGCAAAAAACTTTGTCTCCAGAGCAGCTTTTGATCCCTTGATTTTTCTATTGGGATCCCTTGCTTCTTGTTGATCGCATCCCTTGCCCAGTTATTCATACATCTGGTACAAGCACTATTGCTTGTTCTGGGATATTGGTTCGCCATGGTTATTGTCAGATGCCACGCCACATAATTGATCTTGAGAATTCATACTATCTGATTTCCGTGCGCTATAGATGCAATCAGTGCAAGCCTGTCCACACTTTCTCAAGCTGCAATCCTTTAGTCATAGCCAAGCTACCTAGGCCTCTTGCTGCACAATTCCCTGCCTACCTTAGTAAACGAAGTGGTCTCTCAAAGCAGGTTTTTGTTATCATGCGTTGCTGCTTTCAAAATAGCTTGGGAGCTAAACAATTTGCAGATAGCCTAAATGTTCTTCACCACCGATTTCATGATATGCTGGAAGTTCAGTATTTGCAAACTGTTCTTGAACGTGAGAGTGGATTATACAAGCCTTTTCTTTCCTTTGAGTCCAGTCCAAGTGCTGCACCCTCTGGCCAATACTGTCGGGATATTTATGATAGAGAAATTGAAGCTCATGAAAAGGAGTTTGATCAACATACTGCTCAATTATCATCTTGTGGTATGGGTATTGACCATTCACACAAGGTTAGATTTCTCTACTTTTTTTTCTCAGTTTCTTACATTTGCTTTCTAGATTACCAAACAAATTGCAAAGATCCAGAGTGAACCTGTTTTCACAGGCCTTCTTACTATGACTAATGAATTTGGTGAAATACGAATCTGTGATCTTGTTCCAACGAAAGCCCACTCTCAGTTTGATATTGCACTTACACGGATGAATCATTCTATTAAACTGTTTGGTCTTGAACCTCCTCACATAATCTTCACAGACAATCTGGCAGACAAGCCAATGCTTGAACGACACTTCCCCAGCCTTAAAGAAGGAGTACGACCTGTTAACAGTCTTGGTGACCTACCTGTCTTGCAACTTCCCTCTGGATGTATCCCTAAAGTTTTTCAAACAGCTACACAAATTAATTCAGCAATCCTTAGCTTCATTGACACCTTTTCACATCTTGATGGGGACAAACTGGTTGTTGGCCTAGATACTGAATGGGATGTTGATCTATCAGCACGAAGACAAGGTGTACCTGATCATCGAAAAACTGCAATCATGCAGATTGCTTATGGTAATGAAGTATGGATATTTCAGGTTAGTACAGTAAATTTACAGAAATGCAGATTATGCATTGACAATGTTATACAGTTGAGTGAACATATTGCTAATGGATCATTTCCTGCTCAATTGTCAACATTTTTGGCAAATTCTCAAATTCTCAACGTTGGAAGAAATGTTTTATTGGACTTGAAAAATCTGGAAGAAGATAGTGAATCCTCTACTCCATTTGTTGGAGGTATTGATCTAGGATGACTAGCAAAAGAGAAAAATGTTGTTAGTGATGCACATGCTAGTCTGGGAGACTTATGCATCAAAACACTTTCTTGTATTCTTCCCAAGGATCTCAATATCCGAATTAGTCCAGATTGGTCTGGCCCACTTACAGATGAACATATCCAATATGCTGCACTTGATGCTTGGGCTTCTCTTAAAATTTATGAGAAGCTAACTAGTCTGCAGATCCCAGTTCCTGTAAACTTTGCAAATGCACTTCCTGCAGGAGATCAGATTTTTGTTTTTCATGAAGATCGCACTACTATTATTGCTTGTGGAATTATCTCACCTGCTCAATTCAATAGCTTTGAAGGGATTAATATTACAAAAACACGAGTACTCATTCAGGTTGAAGAGATCTATGTTCCTGGTGCTAAAATACATTTGCACTGCAAGCAACCTCTTTCGTTATTTGGTCAAACACCATTTAATATGGTCTGCAGAAGAAGCCAAGTCAAGACATTTGTCCCAGAATTCATCCCTGCTCAACATGGCAATACCATACCAATTCCCAATGCCTCTGATTCTTCTAGTAATGTATCAGACATTGATCCTTTAGCAGAACTGGAAATGGACTCCAATTGTGTATTTCAGACAGACAATCCAGATTTCCAAAGTCTCAATATTAATTTCTGTGAAGCAAATGCTGTTCCTGCTACTCATCAAACAGCAAACTTTTCTGCTGAAGAAGTTGATCGCAATACAGCAGATGCATATGTCAAAATTCTTCATGACCTTACAGAAGTTCCTTGGGCACCTGCTATTCGCAGTGGTGTATTGAAAGATATTTTCCATGTCTTTCATATGATATATATACCCAAGTCCCATGGTCTCTGTGTAACCTTTTCTCGAGCTTTGCGTGATGCAATATTTCTTCCTGATGCTGAGGATAAAAGATGCATTGTCTCATATTTTGCAAGCCAAGACCCACCTATGACATGGGGAGAATGTTTGCAATCCAATCCTCAATTTATAAAGAGACATTGCAAACATGTTGTTCCTCCTCCAGAACAGCTTTATGATCTGGTTTCCAAGGTATTTCAGGTCTATGGACCTTTAAAAGATGCACAATCAGGTTTACCTCTGTTTAGTTCCAATACTTGGAAAACAGTGAAGAATATTCTCGAGATTATTAAACTTGGCCAAATATCTGATCCTCCTGGGATACCATTATACTACTGCCTTGGCATGGCAAGAAATGGCCTTCCAATCTATCGATGCTGGCGTGGAACCAATTTTACTGAGGGTGCAGTTCATCGCCCTATTCGCAAGAGCATGCCATATTCAGGTGTTTCTCCTCGTCATACTGCCAATCGACTGAAAGATTTTGTATTTTGGCATAATATGCTGGTTGGCACCTATAATACTACTGGCCAGCACTATAAAGGCCACTTTGATATTTGGTTAATCAATGAACAGCAGTCCTTACTCAACTCAGAAAGGATCCGACAATTGATTCCAAGGTCACAGCCAGTTGCACGATGGGTAAATGGTGATCTTTACATTCAAACAACTGAAGTATTTGGAATTTTGCCTGTTCCAGATCCTGTAAAAGTTGCCAGCGGAATTTTGAAATATGATTCACAACTCAAGCCAGAGCAATATGCATACCTTGCATCAAAGCAAGATACACGATATGCCGTCCTAACTGTTCATACTACAGAAGAGAAAAATCTCTTCTCTAGATTTATGCGGAATGAGCCAGTCTTTATGAAAGAAGGTGGTCCTGACTGGCCATCTGCTGTTCACAAATGGAATGAATTTTCAAATGGGAAGACTATTTTCTACAAGGTCATTTCTTTTTTTTTCTTTTCAAATTCAATAATACTCATGTCATCATCCAGCTCATAGAACACTTGAAATCTTATTACACAGTATGGGCAAATTCACTCAACGCAAAGCATACTCGAATAAGTACATACAATGCAAGAAAAGACATTGACAATATAATTCAAAACCCTGCACGTCTTACTCATGCCCCACCTGTACCACAATACCCTACCTCAAACCGTCCTTTACCAACAGCAGGCCTCAGAAGTGAAGATGTAACCAGTGAAGAGCAACCAGTGGGGACAAGCTCTCGGATACAATTGGCAGGTGCCAGTCAACCCTTTGTGGCAGCGCAGAAAAGACCTGCCGAGCCAATGGGAGTTGATGATGATGAAAGAGAGGTGTCACGAAAGCGAGCATGTTGTCAATGTGCCAAATGCGGGATGGGAGAGGGGTGTGCCGGAAATAGAGGGAAAGCCAGGTGCCGAAATTCATGCAGGGATTGTGGAAGTACTGAATGTGAGGGAAGGGATAGTAGGAACCAGAAGAAGAAATGTCCTAATAGTTAGATGGTAGTCAGTAAATGTATATGCTTCATATGGAATTGATGTAACATACCCAAATTAAACAATAGCAAAATAACAAGAAAGAAAAGCGGGCAGAATGCCTACTCGCATTCACGCTCACAGTCAAGCACACTGCCTGTGGAAACGGGTGCCACAGATGTGAGGCATTGGCGTTGGACAGGACAGGGGAGATAGGGTGGGGGATACGGTCATGTGTGTCGGAAAACGAAGGTTCAGGGAGTTGGTATGGGTGGTGGCCACTCACTCAGTTGCCCTGTCTTCGCAAATGGGCACTCAGACGATAGTGGGCCCAGCGCAGTGAGCTGGTGGATGAGAATGGTGGGGACAGGGCCTGAGGAGCAGATGGCGCATCTAAACAACAGCCACTTGGGCCTACGTCAACGCGAAAACGAAGGTTGGGGGAGTTGGTGTGAGTGGCGGCCACTCGTTTGAGTTGCGCTGTTTCCGTTCATGGGTGCTCCGTTAATAGGGGGCCCTGCACAGTGAGCTAGCGGATTGAGGATGGCAGGGACAGAGACTGAGGAGCGGATGGCACATGTAAACGACGGCCACTGGGGCCCACGTTCACACCCACTCAGCCGTGTGTCCTGCCTCGCTGCAAGGGAGCCCGAAACGGGGGTGGCGATGGCGAATGGAGAGGCACGATGGCTGCTTTTTCATGTTCAGGGGTGGGAGGGGATATGGAGCCGAGAAAAGAAAGAGAGAGAGGCAGTGGGAGCAGAGCACCGGCATGCTTGCAGTGTGGAGATGGGGAGGGGAGCGGTATGCAGTTGTTTGGTGCCATGAGATCGTGCGTTGACATCCGAAATGGTCGAAGTGATTGAAACGAGGTGATTTGAGAATGGGGAGGGCAGAGAAGAGCTGTGTGTGGGGTCAGAGGTGGCAGTCAGTACAACTGACCGCCACCTCAGTTGTCGCAGTGAGTCGATGCCGTTAGATCGACATGGCCGAAGTGGTTTGAACGAGGAAATTTGGGGGTGGCGAGGGCTGTGTGTGTGGTGAGATTGCTCAGAGGCGGCGGTCAGTACGCCTGACCGCCGCCTTGGTTGTTTACTGTGGAGCATTCGTCATATTGGGCAATGAGATGAAAAACCATGTTACTTACCTTTGATACCGGGTTCCTTCGCTGTTTGAGAGACTTGGATGCAGCGAGGCTGGGAGACATTGAAGGTCAGTGAGCACAGATGAACGTTGATGAACAGCCGTGTGATTTACGAATTATCTAAGCGCCGCACATGTGATTCAGTAGTGAAAACTGACCTGTACTGCTCAATATGCGATGGAAAGGTGTAAAAGTTTGCATACATGTTGATATAGGCATAGAAAGTAAACTTGAATTTTTTTAGTGCGAGGGAGCGAGTGGAAGGTACCTCCTGAAGTAGTGAACTCGGTAGTGAATATCTCACTACTTCGGTGGCTATGACGATCAGAGCTGTTGCCAAACAGAACCAACCATTGTCCTGTTGTCTGAGTTCGCACAAACTGTCTGGCTCGCAAAGGCTACAGTTGCGGACAAACAAACACATCAAATCGGGTATCTCAGGAATGTGAATTTTCTGGCAAAAACCGATGACAGATTTGAATCTGGACAGTTGAATACAGCCTAAAAACACTGTTTCTATGAAATTCCCACGAGGTTTTGGCGGCGCCAAATTTTTTTGGCCAAAATTTCGCACCAAAGTTACTTGGCCCCCACCAACCTGAGACGATATGCACCAGTAACCCATCATATTTTGACAATTATGGGTAAAAGGTACATTCACATACAATTCACACTATAAATATGGTCCATTGTTTGCACTTTAGAGCCAACTTGGGTATTATTTTATGCGAGAACAGCTTGTAAGAAAGTTCTAATTTTTTGGGATCAGAATCTATTCCTCAAAAGCTGTTCAAAAATGAAATTTTCGAGATTTTAGCGATTTTTTTCGACACACACCAATTTTTTGGGTGATTTTTTGGCCAAATTGTCGAAATTGAAAATTCTGCTCGTGCAAATGGATGAATTAGATGTAATCCTTTCTATTTCAATGCTTTTTAGTGGGTTTAAACTCATGTGGTGACGGACATAAATGGTAGAATAAATTTGATGTGTTTGTTTGTCCGCAACTGTACCTGAATATCAGCTCGAACTATTCCTTGGTAAGCCATATCATCCTCTTTTTCTTCCCTTTTTTTTCTCTTCCTTCCTTATTTTTTATTATTTATTTAAAATTTTGGACACAGGTACAGTCATCCACCCACCAATGATACACTACCATCATTTGATACACTTTTGACCAACTAATATCTCACTCAATACTACATCAATCTTTGTGAAATAAATTGTAACGTGCACTACAGGTTCACATCTACCATATTACAAAATTTGGGAAAAATTGAAGCAGTATTGGTGCTGCTGTGAAGTTTTCAAAATGGACTGTTTTTGGAAATTGCTGCAATACAGTCACACCACCCAATGATACACTCATAATTTTGACTCTTCTTCCTGACCTGTGGTTCCAACATTCTGAAATTTGGTAGGGTTATAGAGTGTAATTTATCTCAAATATTCATGTAGTTTTTATGGCTGAATGTTGTACTTCAAATTGTTGGATGCAATTTCTCAGTTTCGGCGTATCATTAGCAGGTGGATGACTGTATGAGTAGTGAGCCGTCCGCGTCAGACCCGGGTCATGACAACACTGGGCAAAGATGGGTGAAGCAGGTAGTGCAAACAACGTTACATGCGTTGTATTCCCCTTCAGCTAAACTTTCTTGTGAGATCTCCATAGTGTCCCTCCACGGGCAGCCAACTTGACCGTTGCTCTTAGGGAGCTGCTGTCCCACAATGCCCGCTGTTCGTTGCGTAGGTCATAATTGTCATCCCATTTTCTAACGATCCACCTCTATACTAGATAGCGCCAACCCTTGGCTACTTCGTTTCCTCCTTTCCCTCACCCTCGTCCTCACCATGTCTCCTGGATTCCTCACCACCGCAGCCGCCATCCAGCTCCGGCAAATCCATGACGAACCAGACGAGGGGTCACACGTTGAAGCGACGGGAGTTGGTCGACCGTCGACTTCGCCAATGCCTCGTCCGTCGGTGTTGCATCTCCAAGACTTGACGAGCCATCTGATGGAATCGGTGGATGGAGTGGAGGATAAGAAGAGCCGGGTACGACTGAACGGTTGGACCACTTCAAGGGTTTCGTTGGTGGCAAGGATACCATGAGGTTGCGTTATCGGTGAGGTTACCGCAATCTCATATTCGTAAGTAACCCAGAGGGCTGATCTATCATCGTAGTTTCTTCGTGAGGACGCTCACCAGCGTGAATATGTCGCTCAGAGTGACAAGCGCCTAGAATTCATCTCGGGGTCGGTTTAGTGCTTCCTCTTCTCTTCTTCCCCTGTTTCCACTCTAACTTCCTGGTTCAGCGGGCCAAGCGAAGTCGACGTCAGCGCGTCTGATCACCAGGACATCAGACTTCAACGACTCCATACCAACGACTCGCGCATATAACGACTTTCGTAAGTACTACCATCCATCCCCCATGGCCGCCATCGCGCTCTTTTTCCGCCTACTGACAGAGATCAATTTCAATAATAGGTCTTGCGCCCTCACAACCTGGTCGCGAACAACTCTGACTTAGAGGAACTAGAATACATTGTCTATGCACATCGGCACGTTCGGAAATCCTGACGGATGGTCGTTACATAGGCTCCCCTCCGCTCGGACCGAAAGGGCGACTGCCCTTTCATTCAACTCTTCCCATACGAGCATGGATCCCGCGGTTGGAGAGTCCACACGCTTGCAAGTCAACGTGACCACCCTAACTGGGAGGGATTCAGGCTGTTGTTTGGGATTACCTAGGAGGTTGATGATACGTCGACTGAGGATCATGGGGTGCATAGGGCGAAGGACAGCGCGCCGTTCGCATGAGCGAGCTAATCACTTCCGCTCAGCTTCCTCCTTTGAGCCGCTTCCTCCTCCTCCTTCTCCTACACACTTAATCCTCGCAACCTCCTCTCTGTGCTGCGAGATCTCCTAGACATCTACCACTGCCTACCCCACCCTCTGCTCCATGACACGAACGTAGGATGCATATGCACCGCTTCCAATCACCTGTCACGTTTGCGTCCTTTGGCGTGAAATGTCCCAGGCAAAGGAGGGTATGTATACATTGTTGTAAAAGTACAAGTAAGAGCAAGCGGCACTGTTTAACGAGTGCCCGTTGATGTTCTGGGAGATAATAAAAATTATGATTGTCATCGTGCTTGAGTACATATCAGTCCGTCAAGCTACGGATCTGGAGTCAACCTGAGGAGTGTTATGATTATGCATTATCGCTCCAATGCAAGTAGCATGTTCGAGCTGATCTCAGGCCATTATCTAGAGACGTTTGGACGCTCCGCGCAAAAGAGACTGGCTCAATGAGGCGCACATCTTCAAAGTCGCGGATGGTTTGTGTTGACTTCAAGGCACGTATGACTCCCCAAACGACGATGAGAGAGGATCCTGAGGGTGTCGTTCGTCTGTCTTGGCGAAGAATTTGAAGGAACAAGTGAGGGAAAGAGTGGACTGCTGGGGAAGACCGGGCGAGGAGCAGGACAAGTGAAATGACGAAATTGGAGGGCAATTAAGGGAAAGAAAGAGCGAACGAAAGTGAAAGTGCAGTAGAAGAATCATTGGGCGCCAAGGTCGAAAAGAACGGCATGGAAGGCACCGAAACCGTGATTGTAGAAGGAGGTTAAAGACGGGAAAGGACACCCGGAGTCTGAAGGCGCATGGAGTCGGTCTTCAGCTTCAGCAGCCGCAGCCAAATTGGGTCGAAGGACACTGGCTCGGCTCGCCACGTACTGGACTATGACGGTGGAAGGTGAAGAAGTATTTCCAACATGCCTCACGTTGGCCATTGTGCGCGTCTTCCGTTTCCAAAATACGAGGTCGTCCACGTCTACGGGCGTAGAGACTAGAAAGTAATCGGAATTGCGGAAGGGGGGTAAGTCGCCTAATCGAGGGCCATATGAGTCGTCGCCGTTCGGTCGAAAATGACGAGGGTTGGGCGGCTTGTGGGAGGTGGTCAAAAGCAGTGGTGATTCGCGTTGGAAGAAGGTCGATGTACCCGAGTGGTTGGAGTGCCGACTGGTCTGCGGCTGCTGGTCAGTCGGCAACCGTAGCCTTATAAGTGGATGACTGTCCGACAAAGGACAGTGGTGGATCCTCTTCTTGCACAACGGGGACGACGCACAAGGATAATTGGTCGTCGCGAATCTGTAACACGACATCCTGGCCGAATCACCAAGGCTTTCCATGGGTATGTAACTGCAGCAATGCCACGGCAGCAAATGGCGAACTCGAGAGCTGAGACGACGTGAGGTAACATTGAACATCCTGCTTCGGGTATCTTGGGTTGCAAGTAATAGAGGAGCTCAAGTCGGGGCCTCTAGAGCAGCATCTCTGCGAGGTACAACTGCACGATATTGTGACCAAATTTGGAGGACCAACTGAATCGCGACGTAGTAGCACGTTGCAGGGCTTCAGAAATCAGGGAACTAACATCAGAAAGCGAAACTGAGGCAAAGATGGCAAACGCACCTCAGAATTATCCAACCCAGCTCCAGCTATCAGACGGCCTCCGGGTAACGTACTGCGAGGTGTTGAGGGTGCAAAGGCAATGACAGGGATAGCCGGCGGTGCGACGTATTGGATGTGTCTTGGTCGACGTCAAGGCATGATGGTGGTCAAGTTGGACCATCTCATGACGCATTGGACGTTGATCTTGCGTTGGTCACGACCCGAGTCACCTCTCTTCCTCCGCCTCTTCTGCATTTGTCCTTCGTCTGGTGCTTCATCTCATTTCTGGACGCGATCCAGTAGCGTATTTTCTGCCCTCTATCAATGTATCTCTTATTGATCTTTTCGTTAGTCCTCGGCCTCAGATCTCAGCGTTGACTCTACGTGATCATGCCCAGGATGCACCCCCATCACTTTCTTGGCCCAATGCGGACTTCTATCAGCGTTCACGACCTTCCTGTCTACGCAATCTTCGAATACGTATGCCATAAGGCTTCAACTTCCTTGGGCCCAGCCGCTCACGTCTACCGCCCTTCCTTCTCGTAGAAACCCATAAACTGGCATAAGAACGGTAAAGAGCTCTTTGCAATTTCGTTATCCGTTCTCCCTTTCATTAGTATCAGGTCCTTTGAGGAAATGCAAACCGTGCACTGCGTTTCTACTCATGATTGGACAAGAACTTTGTATCTTGCAAGTATCTTGTCAATACTTATGTGCTAGCAACCATTTGATAACATTCCCGATTTCTGACAGTCTCTCTTTACAGAAATCACAATCCGCATCCAAAGGACGAAGGTGGGCGTTACGAGGAAACTTCCGAGCACCAGTGGCCCAGAACGATCACCTCCAACCGCGCAACGGCAACGAACTTTATCCAGCCAGCCTCAAACGCCGCTGACCTAACATTGAGGTGTAGCAGGTGCAGCGGATGGTCATGGACGAGCTCGTACTTTCAAGTGAGTACTACGCATGTGGCTATTCCGATATGTCGCTAACATATTGCTGAACCAGGCTTCAACGTAAAGATCTTACGGCGCAAGCCTCTTGGCTCTTTGTTCAATTCCGAGTCCTCGCTGATGCGCTCTTCTGAATGATTCACTACCGCAACCACCATCCATCTCCGACAGATTGGACGAGGGTCACCCGTTGAAGCGACGGGAGTTGATCGACTGTCGACTTCGCCAACCCTCGTCCGTCGTTGTCATCTCCAAGACTTGACATGCCCTCTGATGGAATGGGCGCATGAAAGGGAGGTCAATGACTTTGAGAAAGTCAAAGGAAAAGCCGGGTACGGCTGAACGATTGGACCATTCGAAGGATTTCGTTGGTGGCGAGGATATCACGAAGTTGGTGAGTTTACCCCGATGTCATAGTCGTGAGCAACTCTAGAGGGGTGATCCAGCGTTATAGTCTTCTTCGTGCACAGCGAGGACGCTCACCAGCACGAATATGTCGCTCAGAGTAACAAGCGCTCAAACTTTCTCAGTTAGTGTTTCCTCTTCTTTCCCTTACCTGTTTCCACTCTAACTTCCTGCGTCAGCGGGCCAAGCCAAGTCGACGTCCACGTATCTGATCACCGACTCACGGTGTTGGCTACAAGCTCGAGGACGCCAGACTCGTTGAATTTATCTTAACGACTCGCGCATATAACGACCTTCGTAAGTTCTGCCATTCCCCATGGCCTCCATCGCGCTCTCTTTCTGCCTACTTATACGACCAATTTCGATAATAGGTAATGGTGCACTCATAACCCCGCCGCGAACAAGTCCGGCTTAGAGGAACAAGTACATCGGCGCGTTCGGAAAATCCTGACGGATAGTTGTTACATTGGCTCCCCTCCTCTCTCGGACCCAAAGGGCGACGACACATGCCCCTTCATTCGACTCTTTCCATACGAGGTTGGATCCCACGGTCGGGGAATATACTCGCTCGCAAGTCAACGTGACCACCCCAACTGGGAGGGATTGAGGGCTGTCGTCTGGGAGGTGATGCGTTGACTAGGGGTCATGAGGTGCATAGGGCAAAGGACAGTGCGCTTCGTATGAGAGAGTTATAGCCCTTCTCAGAAGTGGATTTACCAATCCACTTCCGCTCATCTTCCTCCTCTGAGCCGCTGCTTCACCCTCCTCTTCTTACGCACTCAATCATCGCACCCTTCCCTCTGTGCTGCGAGATCTCCTAGGCACCTACTTCTATCCACCCCACCCTCTGCTTCATGATACGGACATAGGTCGCATACACTTACACCGCTCCAATCACTTTTGATCAAGCGCGCTGTACGGCCGTAAACCCAGTTCTTCGCCTGTATTCCGCATTTCCGACTCTTGACATCAACGCCAGAACCGTCACGTCTGCGTCCTTGGGCGTGAAATGCCAGATGCAAAGGAGGGTATATATAGAGCCTCGTAAATTAATGTGAAAGTATGAGTAATAGCAAACGGCACTGTTTAACGAGTGTCCGTTGATGTTTTGGGATATAATGAAATTATGATTGACATTGTGCTAGTTCTGAGTGATTTGAGTACGTATCAGTCCGTCAAGCTACGTCGTCAACCTGAGGAGTGTTATACGTTGTCGCTCCATTACAAGTAACATATTCGAATGTCACGACAGGTCGCGTGCATGTTGATGCCTTTCCAATCCGTCGACTCAAACTCGATCTGCTGAACGAGAAGGGTGTCAGTAACCATCGTTAGTCGCGTCTAATCCAAACTTACAAGAGCCCAATCAGCGATGGGTACCATCTGTATGTGCGACGTTGCGGAAGCCCATGCGACGACGAACTGCACGACGGAGGATGTACGCGGTGTAAAGTTTGTACGCTGAGTCCAGAGACAACGATTGCTCGTATCACGGGCAGAGATTGCGGCTGTTGGGTGATATACCATGGATGTAACGACACATAGAGCGTCTGGGCGTGGGGTGACTGAGAAGTTCTGGGCAACGAGTAGAAAGGCGCAACCGATCAGATGATCGATGTACGTGTGAGGTCCCTTCGTGAGTCGATGCACGAAGGGATGCAAGTGGCCGGGTCGTGCGAGCCATGGTGGACCTAGGAAAGGCGGTACGATCGTCGAAGTGGGGTTTGCATTGGTTTTATGGAACAGGAGCTGTGTAACGGATGGGGGCAGTCAGCGAGGGAAAAGATTAAATGTACGCAAGGTAATAAGGAATTCAGACGTCGAGGAAGGGGCGAATGAATGAATAAGTAACGCAAACTTACCAAAGGAGAGATGTCCGTTATCCCCACTCCCCAGCTCTCCGGCTGGAGCGTGCGCTTATGATCTGGTGGATGGCAGTGACCTGGCATATGTAGAGCTTTTCGAGAGTGTATTAGGTTCGTCGAGCTGGGCATCGTTGGGAACGCCAGCCACGTCTGCAATGGAACGTTTTGTCGACCAGTGGAAATCCGTGGGTTGCGGTCTTGTACGCTTTAGAACCATGGCGCTCGTAAACGAAGTTAAGGAGTCTGGAGCTGCCACAGAATTATCAGTATATTCTAGACTAACGGGTGTATGGGGAAGAAGGGGGGAAAGTTTAGTTGCACAAAGGGGTAAACGAGGTAAGGTGGAAAGGTGACGAGATTTAATGGAATGAAAGGAAGATCTTACTCAGAGCTGATGCACCCGGCCATCTTTGCGATGAATCCCATGAACTAACTCTTCGCGCATCCTTTGAATCTCAACAGTTCCCCAGTCTCACTATATCGATACATGTTGACCAAAGCGGCCATCGAATTTCATTTTGATTGAAGCGGGAGGTCGAGTAAGGATCTCCAGGCGATGTCGGCAGTGGCTGAACGACCCAGAGAGGAAAATTGGACGAGTCGTTATGAAAGTCCGGTTCAACGAGGGGGTTCGCGGCGGAGTTGAAGCCGTGGGTGGATCCCATCGAAGCTGGCCGAACAAAGACAGCATTGACTTGGCAAATGACAATTTTGAAAGTAGGGGGGCCCTTAGGTGGGTCGCAAGGTATGGAAAGAGAAAGGCGTAGATGTGTTTAGCGTTGGGGTGGAGAGTGGGTCATTTCGCACAGCCACAACCAAAACAAGCACACCAATGACTGTGCGCATCCTCCTCTCGTCCATTTGACTGAGTTCCGCCACTCTGGAGAGGTTTTGCTTCTCGGTCACCGTTGTCGGCCGTCCTTTGTGCGTCTACTTGCTGACTTGACGCCGAAACACTTCTCGGAACGCTGTGCGAGGGAGTCGGAGGGACCTCAATCAGGAACGTCAGCTGACTCTGAGAAACGGTCCTTTACCCATTCTGACGTTTGGCGCCGCACAGCATCGATACTCTCTTCTGAACCACCATGTCTGATCCTTACATCCCCTGCGAAAATCATTTGAAACGCAAGTTCGAGGAATTGCCCAATCAAGTCACGAGCACCGACCACCCTCGTAATAAACGCTATGGCGGTTTGAGGTTAGAGTTAATGACCTTGTGCTACCAGATAAATGTTGACCTGAATCTGCGGATGGCAGTAGCATCTTGATAACTCCATCTTCCACCATTGGTGCGGAGGACATAGCCATGCCAGCCACCAGTGAGCTACATCTGGATCTTCCTGCCCAAAGTGAACATTGATTGCTCATCTAATCAAATTCGCAGGTGAAATGTTTGAAGTCCCTGGGGAAGGAGAGGTGGAGTGCTCACAACAAGGTTTACCTATCTCCACTGGTCTGTGTTAACCCCAACCCTCTATCATTCATCATTGGTAATACTGATACAGATTTCCTGAGTTCTGACCCGCCTATCTCTCCACCAATTGCTTCTGTTCTGGGTGAAGGCCTGGTGTCAGTGGGTCTGGAAATGACTGTTGCCTGTGAGATACCCCTACATCTGTTCACTAACATTGATGTTGACCTTCCTCAATTCTAATCTCACAGTTGATCAGGTTGAAGGCCCTGTGCAAGGAGCTGTTGATAACTCTTCTCCTATCTTGACTGGTTCATGCTTGCTCCAAATCGTAATATTCTATTTCTGATAAATCTGTATAGATCCTCCAGGTTCTGACTTGCCCATCTGTCCACCCATTCATTCTGCTCTAAATGAAGAAGTGATGCTGGCCAGTCAGTAACCTTAGCAATATAGCTCAGATTGGCTCAAATCTAATAGATCATGCAGACTTCTCAGCAAACCCAGCTAATATCATAAACAATGTTGCAGCTCACAATCTAAACACAGGCCCTAACTATGGTTTGTTGTATTTGGATTGTGACATTTTATTGCTTTCACTTATATTTTGATAGGTATTATCAATCAAGGTAGGGAGTAATAAAAGCATCATATCCATTCTAATGATATATGTGGTTGGTAGGTGTGGACCCAAATATTCAAATCACACTTGAGATGATTAGGGATGACCAACTGGGTATTATTGTGGGTTTTTATTCCAAATGTATCACTGACTTCATTTTTTTGCTAGTGGAGAAGATTATTAAGTGGCTCTCTCCCCCCAAGGAGTCTGTTAACTACAATGCTGCATCTGAAATTTGGAAGAGTCAACTAGACACCTGTCAATGGTTTCTCAAAGGAAATACATTTTTTGGGTGGCTCAAACAGTCTGGCTTTCTCTGGATCAAAGGAAAACGTAAGTCATCTGTCAAATTTTGTAAATTTATGTGATATTGACAACCTATCCAGCTGGCTCTGGTAAAACCATTTTAAGGTTGAGAATTCCAGCATTTTCATGAAACTGAATTGATTTGTATTTTATTAGCTCAGCAATAATTCACAATGTTCTTGAAAGATTCAATTCTGCTACTGCATATTTCTTTTTTGATGGAAGAGACTTACAGAAGGATTTCCAGCTGCATGATAAACTGATGCGATCACTCATCTGGCAATTCAGTCTCAAATGTAAGGGTGGAGTACCTAAAGTCTTCGTAGATCTTTATACTGGCTGTGGCAATGGCCATCAGGAGCCAACTCTGGCTGATCTGCAAAATACTCTTCAGAAAATTCTTGGTGGCTTCAGCTCAACATTCATTATTCTGGATGCTCTTGATGAATGTACTGAAAGAGAAAAGCTTCTGAACTGGATTCAGACTGTTATCCTGGAGAAAGATATGAATGTAGGGCTCCACTTAATAGTTACTAGTCGCCCAGAGCAGGAGATTGAGGACAAGCTCAAATCTTATCATTCTCTTGACTTGTTTGAGGAATCTGAGAATCATGATCTTGTGACCTATCTTGACTATCAGCTTCAGAATGACTCTGACTTGCAAAAGTGGAATTCTGAGACTCAAGAGCAAATAAAGTTGACATTAATGGAACAAGCAGATGGAATGTATGTTTATTATCAACATTTGAATGACAGGATGATTACTAACTGAAATTTTAGGTTTCGCTGGGTTGCATTACAGTTAAATGAGTTCAAAAAGTGCCGGAACAAGGCTGACCTAAAAAAGCGGCTAGCTGATCTACCTCGGGGTTTGGATAAAACCTATGATCAAATCTTGCTGGGGATCAATAAAGAAGATCATGGTTATGCAAAAACATTTTTGCAGTGGCTATCTTTTGCTGTTCGTCCACTGACACTGGAAGAACTGGCTGCAACTGCTGCTATTGATCTTTGTGCTGAGAATGGACCAGAGTATAACTCTGATAATGAGCTTCGAGATATCAAGGATGTCTTGAAAATATGTTCTAGTCTTATTATGAAATCAGATGGTATGGTTTAGAATAATACCAGATTGAAATGAGCACTGACTATTAAATAGGTCATATCAAGCTTTCCCACTTTTCTGTCAAAGAATATCTCATATCTCAGTATATTCAAAATCATGAAGTGAAACATATCAGAGACTTCAGCTTCAATGATGAGCTATCACACTCTGTCATATCTCAAATCTGTCTGGCATATCTTTTGCAATTTAATACACCTGAGGCACTTGAAATAAACCTGGAAGTGTCCTCCCCTCTTGCAAACTATGCTGCAGAACACTGGATTTCACATACACATTCCAGTAGAAAAGATGGATCTCAGTCATTCATAGTGTGTGCATTGATGATGAAGCTCTTGACAGATGAGAATGCTGCTTTTCTCAACTGGGTTCGGCTTTGCAATATAGATAACTTTGATGTGAGAGAGCTACAAACACAGAGGGATGAGATTGCTAAACCTCTATATTATGCATCACTGGCTGGACTGACTGAAGCATCACGTAATTTGGTAGAAATGGGAGCAGATGTGAATGCACAGGGAGGAGAGTATGGAAATGCACTCCAGGTAGCATCAAATGAGAATGAGGCCATGGTAACACTGTTGATA